TCAACAAGTTGTAACAATGCTGTTATTTTATCAAGTTGCTACAAGGTTGTCACTTACAACTTGTCAACAAGATGTGTTCGCAACAGACTTGTAGCAAGCTTGTCAACAAGTTGTAACAATGATGTTATTTTATCAAGTTTTATCAAGTTGCTACAAGGTTGTCACTCACAACTTGTCAACAAGATGTGTTCGCAACAGGCTTGTAGCAAGCTTGTCAACAAGTTGTGACAATGCTGTTATTTTAGCAAGTTGCTACAAGGTTGTCACTCACAACTTGTCAACAAGATGTGTTCGCAACAGACTTGTAGCAAGCTTGTCAACAAGTTGTAACAATGCTGTTATTTTATCAAATTGCTACAAGGTTGTCACCGAACTTATTGACAAACTGTTGAATTGCAAGACGATAACAAGTTGTTGGAACAACTTCTGCAAGTTTGTTGAGCTCAACAACCTTGCATCAAGTTGTGAAACAAACCGTTGACAACTTGTCAACAAGCTGGGAACAAGCAGTGCGAACACATTCTGTTGACATGTTGTTGGAACAACATTGCTACAAGTCTGCTGCAGGTTTGTTACGTATGTAGTTCAACCCTCTTAATCCGAAACTTTCTTTTGATAAACTGAACAAAAAATAAACTAAAGATTTTTTGCATAATTCACTATAATTGAAGCTAGAAGCTTGAACTAACAGTTGCTCTCTTATTTCTTCTTTTTAATTTCTCTCCCTTTAAATTCATCCATGCAGGAACTTGCTCCAAAAAACTCCGACATTGTAATAAAGGACTCTTGAGGAAGAATGCTAGATTGGAATTAAAGAAGAACACTGAGAAATGAACGACCCTTAACTTTATAGGAAGAACAGTTTAGAACTGATAGAGTTATCCAGTATAAATAAAATTAGTTTAGTTTAGGTTTCCTCCTGTAGTAACACTGGATCAATAAGAGATGATCCTTACTGGACCGCTCTAGAATGAACAGTTTAGAACTGATAGAGCTATCCAGTATAAACATAAATTGATAGTTCTAGCAGCTCACCTTTTTAAAACCAGTAATAACGTCAAAAGTTGTGGAATAATGACAACACTCTGATTGGTTAAAACCGCATTCATAATTTTATCAACTGTTTCTTCGGGATCTTGTATTGGGAGTAACCACGGAAACCTGAAAATAAAATTATGGTTAGCCGAGGAAGCGGTAGCTAGCTCGCATTCAAGATGGTCCCATCATAAGTTAGCAGTGAGTTCTGTACAACCGACAGATCACTTCAAAATAGCCCACATTCAAGAACATGTACTATTGGGTTATCTAATCATGCTTATTAAGACTCAGCAGTATATGTTCTGTTGAACGTTAAATGGTTAAGATGTCCACATTCAAGAACATGTATTATCTCTGCACAATCAAGCTTGCTTTGCTGAACGCCACAGCTAACCTGGATTTAGCGCCATGAAACATGCCAGTATTAATAATGTACGGGCACACCACAGTCGTTTGGACAGCAGATTTTCCCATGGCGACTAACTCCATCTGTAGACTCTCGTTGAATCCAACAGCAGCAAATTTCGAGCTGCAATAATCAGTGAGTCCTGCTATACCTGCCAGGCCAGCTGAGGACGCTATGCTCACTATTTGACCATGATTTCTCTCGAGCATTGATGGAAGGAACGCTTTGACAGTCTAGAAAGAAACGCCAAGTCAGGACTAAGCACTATGGCCAGGCCTATCCAGGGGGTCACCAGAATACCAGTACACTCGATAATACTGGCGCAATATCAGGGGCGTACCAGCCCCAAAAGTGTGTGGGGGGGGGGAGTCAAATCGTCAAATAAACAAAACAACTGGGGGGTCCAGCCGCCCGGAGGCATGGTCCCCCCAGAAAATGTTTTAATTTTTAGAGTCTACGAAACGCTATGTCACGCATTTTAGAGACGTTTTTTATGCTAATCCGAAAGCCACAAATTTGGTATATTTTATAGATGAAAGCATTGCGAGTGCGCTGAGATTTCGTCACAAATTACTCTTACCCAAAAATGAGCCAATGTGTTCACTGCAAACGTCTTTTCAATCAATTCATCTGATATTTGCAAGAATTTCTTTCCACTCACAATACCAGCGTTATTAATGAGGATAGTTACATCTCCCACATTGGCTTTGATTTCATTCGCAATTTTATAAATATCGTCTTTGCTACTGCAATCACAAGTGAATGAGAAAGCTTTCTGATCATTTGATTGTATTTCATTCACAGTCGCTTCATTTGCTTGTTTGTTGATATCAACACAAACGACGGTAGAGCCAAGAGAAGCGAAACGGAAGGCCATTAAGCGACCTATTCCACTGCCTGCACCAGTGATCAGTACAATTTCATCGCGCACATCTTTTTTTCTAGCGGGAACAAACCACATTGCAAAGGCAGTAAGAATTTGAAACATCAAAGTAAAAATAAAACCTAGGACTTCAAAAATGAGATAAGCCATGATGGCTTTATGACCTGTTTTGAATAATAAGTTTGTTTTTATCCAAACCTCTTTTACATATTTTTTAGCAAATTAACATTTTTATTGCATTTCACTTGTTTATGACTGCATGAACTACATAATTAACTATGGCAGGTGCTTTGGACCGCTTCAAGTCCTATATGCCCAAATGTAACTCTGTACGAAGTCTTACATATCCGGCCGATATTCGCTTCTGCTACTAGAAACTGAACATAGTTTGTTCGTATGTTTGTTAGTCTGTCCAGTTGAATGTTTATTGTTTCGGCTTGATTGTACCTGAATTGGGCCAGCATTTGCAGTGACTGGCAATGAGCTGTTGCGGTGACGGCCACACTATTTTGTTATTGTAATTTTAAATTGTTTTTGTAATTTTGTGCTGGCAAAGTTAATAGATGAAATAAATGAAATGATATGAAGTTCACTTTCTTACGCATCCCGTGTGAATCTTACAAACATGAGTACGGTTTCAAAATCATTCTCCCATGTGAAAGGAAACAAATGTCAATCATCATCAATCAACTTGGGCACAGCTTCAATAGCTCAATATCAGTCATTGTTTTGCACGGAAGAAAATGATTTTTTCAACAATCTTAAGGAGTTATTCTTAATATAGAAAAAACTTTGGGTTGATAGCGATGCAACTATACTGACCTGAAAAATAATACAATGACTGGAGAACTTCCGGCGAAATGTTGAAGTTCTCCTTGTATTTTTCATGTAGTTGCAATTTGCATCCCTAGAGTAAAGACCTAGGCTACCTAAAATGCTCATGTTTTGTGATTGGTTTCCAAGAAACAAAAATGATCATTGTTCGTTACCCGGTCGTTCTTTAGAAAGACGATTTCTATAGTTTTATTGTCTTTCACTATTGTTATAATCAACCAACCACGAGCCTCGATAGTATAGGTAGATGATGACTCCCTCCCTATCAATCCATTCTTATTATTGCCACTACCTACACTGATACAGACTGTTCATTTTTAATTCATATATGTACTATAAACATTGAGGTATGCGGTCAAATTTTCCATTTTTCTTACACAGTATTATTTATCTATATTGTATTCGACCTCTTCATATCATGATCGGTCATTTACACTGGGAAAAAATGTGAAATCCATACCATGAGATTTGCAATTGCACCACTAAATCTATGTATGGAAATATACAATTATTATGGATAATCAAAATCCATTTCCAATAAAGGTCCATACAATTTCCATTCCATGGCCTTCTATGGATTTTCAATTTTTTTCCAGTGTTAATTAAGTTGTTACTATCCTAACCAGCCAACTAAGGTCAACTAACTAGATTAGTCCTGATCGTAACTACTTTAGTTGGAGTGTTTACCTAATTTGTTAGATTCATCTTGTATTATTTTCTTATTATTTTTGTTATTGGTAATAATAAATATTCTTCTTTTTCTTCTTCTTCTTCTCGAAGACTTGAAAAAGCAAATTCAGGATTCGAGGAACATGTTTTAATTTGCTGTCTTCGCTCATGTCATTTGGCCTGAAACTCTGAAGAAGGATACATTCTTGTAGAAATTTTTTAAGATACTTAAAAGATGGAAATAATCCGTTAAAGTCTACAAGTGCGTTACATGTAGTTATTGTAGTAAACTTTGAAGGGGGTGCATTCTTGTGGAAGGAAAGTCCACGATATTAAGTCTTCGAAAGTTGGAACGGTTCCATAAACAGGCCTTTGAATTTCATGTGATGATATGTGAAACTTTGAAGGGGTCAACTCTTGTGCACAAATAGTTTGGTATTGAAGGATAAATCACGTAGATATGGAAATCGTACTTTAATTTCCGTTCAAAGCATAGGGTCAAACTTGTGATCACACTGACCTTCAACTTTACAATGTTAAGCCCAAGATAAGCCAGATTTGGCTCTTGAGTTGAGGAGCTTTTGCCCACTTGTGGTAAAATGTTAAAACAGTCGCATTAATGAAATGTACATGAAAAATCCTGACAAGAATGTTCAAATGAGACTATCTGAATGGGGTTTTATTACGATTAGCATTTCAATAGCACAAATTTCCATCAAGTATTATGCTTACCTAATTACATACTTTTCCCTAGACTACTTTATCTTACAACAGTTGTGATATTACTTTCTCAACTGTGTTTATCCTAACCCACCCTGTCAACTTTCCCTGTGGGAGGAAACTAGAGCACTCGGAGAAAACCCACGACTTTCGGCAGAGCGTTGACCGACTCTTTTCACATGAGTCCATACGAGACTACCAAAAGTTTCCTATATTTTTTATTGACAGCGTATCTGAACTGATAAATTGATAGCAGGACAAAACAGCAATTTTGGATCCAGAATCTTACTGAAAATATCTTCCTGATAGCTGATAATTGGCTTGAATTTTTAGCTGACAAGTGCTCGTGATTTCAGACCCCCAGCAAGATCCTTAATTAAACGTTTGAAGATTAAGCAGAAAGAAACGTTAAAACCATGCTGACAGAAAGATAAATTTACAAAAGCTCAACAATAGAAAAGCATTTCTGAACTGTGACGACCATCTGTTGGGTTGCAACGCTTACTGAGATAAGGCAATATTAAGACAGAACTGGCAACGTCCTTGCACTTTTGGTATGTTTTGCAATAACCAATAAAGCAATAGTTTGACAAATGGCAAGCTATTAAAAACACATTGTGTTGTTTTATTCAGTAATTTAGCACATAACGATGTTTTTAAAGCAAGAAATAATAACTTCCTTTCTCAAACTTGATAAATTGTTTTCAAAGTTTGCCAAGTTGAGACTATTCTTTTACATTACACGCACGCTGTTCTTGAGAACAACATAAGACCACACGCATTGAATAACGCAGCCTCGTTCCCAAGAAAGCTATTATGCTTCGAGACTGAAAGAATTCGAAAGAGTTCACAAATGCGTCCGGTCCCATTCACGTCACACGTGAATTCGTACGATTATAGCTGTGCTCAAATTCGGGCCTAGAAACGTTGAAGGTTCTCCTTGTATGTTTCAGGTATCCCTATTAATCCAAAGCTTTCTGATAATCAGATAAAATGCCGGCCTAAAAGACATCTTTGATTGCTGAAGTGTGGCTTTAATTTTGCGCAAATATTCCTCTCTTTATCACAGTTTTAACTCTTTCCTGCACCCGTCACAATTTTATGCAATTTCAATCTATTTATATCCTACTTTTATGTGGCAAGTGCCAAAAAAATTTCAATGTCATCAACTGTCTTCGAACTATAGTCCTAAAGTCCTAACTGTCCAAGCAAATGCCTTTTGTCTGTAATTCAGTGAAATTAATAGCCGACTTCTGGAGATGAATGGCTTTTTCTTTACATCTTCCAGACTGTAAACTGGCAAGATGGTTTATTGAAGAATACTACATACACGTTTGAGACATTACTAAGTAAAAAATTAAAGACACATTGATTGCGTTATCAAACACAGGATCTAACTGCGCAAACAGACTCTGTGTACACAAATACACAGCTAATGTACAATATCCCCCAATAATTGTCAAAACTAGCCATCCTTTTTTATTTTTCTTTAGGGAACATGTCTCATTTAGCATGATTTATTGCAGGACTTGTATTTTTCTAAACCGTTGTGTATTTTGTCTAATGCGTTGCGGTAGGTTTAGGGGCGTAGAACTGATAACAGAGACACTTGTTACCGATATGGTTTATATTTCAGATCGTTCAGATCTAGGGAGAGTGTTTGGTGAATATGTCACAGTGTTTGAAGCATGGTTTTCGGGCAACGTTTATGGCAAATGACTGTCAAGGAGCTGCTGAAAATAAGTAAGTACAGGACATAATACATTTGTATAAATTTTTCGGCCAACGTAATAGACACGCAGTGATATTATGCACATTTCACACCTCTGCATAACACACATACCTAGTTACTATCCTTCCAGTTAATGCAAGCATAGAACAGCACAAAGATATCTAACGAATCTAGGGATTAGAATTATCTTCATGAATGAATAACTCATACATAATTCTAGTGATTGCCGTTACCGAACCACTATTCTACGCTCTGGTAAAAATAGAACATGTGAGTTCAGTCCTAAAGTTGTGAATTATGTTATTTGTGTGGCAATAATATACTTTACGACTACTGTGGTGCAGATCATAGTGATGTGATACATAAAACTCTTTTCAATGAAATCTCACATTTTGAAAATACTTGGGAAACTCATTAATAATTCATGAGAAAACACAAATGACCGTGAAGGGGTTTGTATCTGCCACAGAATCATTCACATAAAATTTAAGTTTAATTTTCTCACCAAATATCATTCATTTATTTTAAATTGTTAAAGAATACGAATCAGCGGTTCTCTTCAAGACGTTTCGTCCGTGTTGTACTTGTATCAGATGTACATGTATATCTCACTTAAAATCTTACTCCAGTTATATAAAGAGATCTAACTATATCGGTCTGGACATTGATATGTATACAGTGAGTCTCATGGGATATTCAGGTATAATGGAGGATAGATTGCATAACTCGGTGATAACTGTATACATCAGTGATAGATTATTATCATAATATTTACACAGGAGCCCAACTCGCCAAGGCGACTTTCAGTGGTGAAGTACTGTTTAATAAACGAGCAGGAGTGTTTTATTAGGTTTAAATTTTCAGTCATTTTGCATTACGCGCGGGAAATACATACCCTTTTTCCGAAGGAGGTATGTATTTCCCGTTTGTAATACAAAATGACTGAAAAACGGCAAACTTCGCAAGGCTATATTATCCGCATTTTACAACATTTTTCAACGAAACATTGGAATATTACTAATTTTGTGATGCTCTTTCAAATTGTGATGAAATTTTTGTCTAGACTTGTTGAGATTTAAATTTTAGTCAAAAGGTGAAAGGTCCATTCGGACTGGACTAGATTTCAAGTCCTCGCATTTTCTGCCTTTCATCAAATTGCGCACTGACTTGAAATCTAGTCCAGTCCTCATAGTCAGATTTTGAAATATTACATCCATCATGCAGTAACCATATAGTGTCACCAACACCCCAAGATTAAAAATACGACAGGCAGAAGTGGCTTCAATCAAGTATAAACGACCAACTGAAAGTCGTCTCCTCTTTATTAATCTTCTTATGTATAATTCTAGGAAAGCTTATGTTATCTTAGAAAATAAGAAAGGGAAATTATAAAAAGGACCAATTGCGAGATTTTCTGGAAAATTCTACGAATAATTAATCTGGATATCGATTACTTAGCAATATATTTTGATGGCAAGTTTTTCTTCCGTCTTAAACTGTTTAATTTTAATTATTAATCATAATCATTATGATAAATAAACGGCTTCCTTATTGACCAGTGTCACTACAGGGGGAAACCTAAACTAAACCAACTTTATTTATCCGGGATAGCTCTATCAGTTCTAAACTGTTCTTCCTAGAGGTCCAGTAAGGATCATCTCTTGTTGATCCAGTGTTACAACAGGAGGAAACCTAAACTAAACTAACTTTATTATACTGGATAGCTCTATCAGTTCTAAACTGTTCTTCCTAGAGGTCCAGTAAGGATCATCTCTTATTGATCCAGTGTTACTACAGGAGGAAACCTAAACTAAACTAACTTTATTTATACTGGATAGCTCTATCAGTTCTAAACTGTTCTTCCTAGAGGTCCAGTAAGGATCATCTCTTATTGATCCAGTGTTACTACAGGAGGAAACCTAAACTAAACTGACTTTATTATACTGGATAGCTCTATCAGTTCTAAACTGTTCTTCCTAGACTCTAGAGGTCCAGTAAGGGTCATCTCCTATTGATCCAGTGTTACAACAGGAGGAAACCTAAACTAAACTGACTTTATTTATACTGGATAGCTCTATCAGTTCTAAACTGTTCTTCCTAGAGGTCCAGTCAGTGTTATCCCTTATTGATCCAGTGTTACTACAGGAGGAAACCTGAACTAAACTACCTTCATTTATATTGGATAGCTCTATCAGTTCTAAACTGTTCTTCCTAGAGATCCAGTAAGGAACATCCCTTATTGATCCAGTGCTACTACAGGAAGAAACCTAAACTGAACTAACTTCATTTATATTGGATAGCTCTATCAGTTCTAAACTGTTCTTCCTAGACCAGGTCCAGTAAGGAACATGCCTTAGTGATCCAGTGTTGTTACAAGAGGAAACCGGAATACGAAGAGAATACTCGCGGTGGTGTTTAGTGAAAGCTCGCTTCTCGCATAAATCAAATATTCAAAAACATCGACATTTGACTTCCAAAATTGGCTTCAAAGGATATTTTTATGCAGATGCAAAGATATTTTTATTATTTCTACAACATAGTGCAACAATTTCGGTATCGGATCTCGCACGTAATTTATTCACAGCTTTGAGACGCGAGCCTCCATTTCCCTGGCGCAAATTGCGCGACGCGCGCGCTGTAAAAACATGCGTACATGTCAGTAAGATGATTTATGCTGCGTTTGATAAATGATTTGAAAATTACTTCAAACGTACCCTTGCTGAGAACAAATTAAATTGTCAATAAATTTCGGTTCGGTTTTGAGTTTTAATTGAGATTGATTACTGCGGCAAAGGCGAAAATTTTTGCCTCATTTAATGCACATCCTGGCCGAAAACTTTGAGGCGACGCCAAATAGTAAAGCATTTTATTCCCCTTCAGGTTTTATACTCTGCTCGCAAAAGATTGGACGAATTCAGAATCGCACACAAATTCGTCTGGTTTAGGCTACGTTTGCACTGTACCAGATATAGCTTTGCGTAGCGACGTGAAAAAAACACGAATCCGTACCTTTTAGGAACGCCGTTTTCAGAGGAATTATTGCAACGGAGAGATGTTGTTTCGCTCAGCTTCTGAAAGTTGTACATTCCGTATCGGATAGGTGCTTTCTCATGTCGCTACGGAACGCTATCTGGTATAGTGGAAATGTTGTTTATAGTCCGTTGTTTCACACTGAAATTCAAACGGTTAGCAGTGCTCGAGGTTTTCAATGCCCCCTCGGTAAACATGCAAAACGAAATCGTGCAAGTTTGAAGACGTTTTCACGAAATTCCTCCCGACTCCCGTGAGAACGGTGCCTCAGTTCAGTGGAACTTCCCAAACGTAAACTAATCTTTCTGTACAGATATGCCCTATCAATGATAGCTTATACAAACACTCGGAGTACATAATGAGTAAACTTATAATCTCTGTGTATATGAGAGCCTTTTAATGCCGTATGTCTATTTGGGTAAGAGATTAATTGACACAATAGAACGGATAGACTAACTCGATCATTTGAATAACAATTTGAAATATGCCAAACAAACAAGGATTTTCAAGTTTAAATTTTAATAAGCTAATGAGAACGGGCTGTGAGAATAAACTCACTTTATTAATTTTCGCGTGGGATAATGCACACCGGAATGTTTTTCGAGCTAAAAAAAGAAGGACGTTTTTGCTTTGCCGTTGACTGGACAACCTTGCAAGCTACGCGTTTTACTTCTAATCAAAAGTGTTCAGATACATGTAAGTATAGTACTATATAGTCTATTGTAATGTTCTGTTCGCATCATACATGATCAGGTATGATTTCGTACAGGATGTCGAATGAAATTGAACGATTTTGGGCGTCCGAATTCGTCCTAGTTTCAGTAGGTACATCCATCGATCTACTTTGCGTTTTAATACGTTCTAATTTTAGCTGCAAAAATATTTAACGTTCTTTTAAAGCTCGCATTCCAAGCACGCGTTGCCAAAGGCATTTGATCCATTTTCTCTACAAGCTTAAATTGTCATCCGTTCGATATAAATCATTCGCATGTCGACATGCGTATCGATATTTCCCAAATTATACCATCTGTCACCGTGTGCTGAGAGCTCTCGACGACGCGAATAAATAGAGGTGCGCGCGTCATAGAAACACTACTTAATATGGACGCTTGTATGCCAACGGGGCGAGAAACTCTATCAAGCTTAACATAGAGAGCGGTTAATGTCTTGCGTTCGTTGATTCTCTAATATTGATCAGTAAGAGAATTTTTCTTTGGCGGTTTGAAGGTAAGCTAGCATTGCTTTAGACTTAGAGCCCTAAAGCGCAACCAGTTGACGCAAATAGCCATACAAGTGCGCGCTTTGTATTTTAGAAGAACATTTCTGCAAGGTCAATTCTCATTAATTAAACTTGGGTGCGTCTCGAATTCTATGCCACAGTAATTTTTCGTATATCTTTTTGTTGATTAAAGAGTAAGCTTTGGCTGAGAGGCGTGGATGCCATTGAGTAGACCCGGCGTTCGCGCAGTGTAGTACCAATGGCAATGTAGTATTAATGGTAATTCTTTTCACTAGATGTAGTAGTCTTGTATTTAGATGAAAATACGAAAGAATTGAGAAATGTCGTCAGTTTATTTTCTTCCTCACATAATTATCAGAATTTCTGACGTTGACCAAGATCTGTCCTGTAAAGGCCAATTTACACCACACAATTGTTGCCTAAAACTGTCGCATGCAATCTGCTTACAACTTGAGTTGTACTGTGTAAATCAAGCACACAACTCACCTACGACATCGTAAGCAAGTTCTGTGCTTACACAGTAAAACTCAAGTTGTAAGCAGATTGCATGCGACAGTTTAAAGCAAAAATTGTGTGGTGTAAATCAGTCTTAATGCTGACTGAGATCCGTGCTCGGTCCCCTGCAGTTGACTTGATGGCCATGAATTATTGCTTTGATAGTTTAGACAGTTTATAAGATAGTTTTCACAGTCGGCACTTGGGTATTACCGTTTTTCACTTTCTTCGACAAGTGTCTGGCACTTCGGCGACAATAGACTCTCCAGATTGTCAGACTTTGAGGTGTTTTATACGGAGTTCTTCACGATAAAACAGCAGCAACGGTATCAGTTTCATGTTCTTTCCTTATAGTGCTGTATCGAGAAACTTGTACTCCGTAAGAAATTGAAGCCGAAATTGAAGTGTCGAACTGAACTGTGTTGCAAGATTATATAAAGGAAACCAAGTCAAGTGTTACAGTAAGTATTACATACATCATTAATGCATGGATCTCCTGGGATAAACTTAATCGGAGACAGCGTATAGTCAGAAATATGTTCTCAGTTGGTTGAGTAAGCGTTATATAGAGAGAAGATGGTGTTCAACTTCGGGAGCTGAAGAGAATTAAACGACATGTCCCGAAAAAAAAAAAAATGTGTTCAGTAAGTAAACGTCAATTAAATGACGTGTCCAAATACAAGGTATCAAGTCTACTACGTATGATGAAAAAATTAGCATTATTTGCTAACTCTGATAACTGCAGATTGACTACCATCTGCTGCACAATAGTAGTTTGTAATACCTATCTATTATATATTTGGTGGTTTCTGTGCACTCAAAAGCTTTAATTAGCACTAAACTGTTTATTCGCAAGTACTCGTAAATTTTAACCCATCAAGGATTTGTTTCTCTTGCCACGCTCCTGACAGGAAATTTCTGTTGACGCGCGAAGATGCGCGCAATTGCGCAAAAGGCAAATAATGATAAAATTGTTCCAAAAATACGCGCGCGCGTGTTTCGTTGTTTATTGCGCATTTCCGAATATTGCGTGGTTGTGTCGAATCGTTTCTCTAGCGGTGATATAATGCGGTTTATAGTGAACAGGAGTCGTTGAAATGTTCGCTCACGGGGTATATTCTCGACAATTACAGCGAAATTTCTACACTTGATTCTCAAGAGGTTATGTATAGGTACACCGGGCTTTTAACGACTTGTTGATATAAACTGTGAGAAGAATTGACAAATGTGGCCGAGTTGAAAAGTGCGTCAGGTTATGAGCTTTCTGCACTTGGCAATATCAAACTTCCTTGACCTTATTAAAACCTGCGTGACTTATTCAGTTGCTCCCAGACCCATATGCAGTGAATTACATAGCTATTGTGCTAGACTATTTTCCCTACAAATTTGTTAAGCAAATATCGTCAATTCAGTGGTTTGTCTGGTGGTAAAATGTAGAAAAAGTCTACCTGCCACGTATCCCAAAAGTGGTGGTCCAGTGTAGGTAGTATTCTACAATAAGCTGTCGTGGTTTGTGTCTGAACTATCTGAAAAATTCGGCACTGTTTTAAATGAATGAAAATTTAAATTTCCCATATCAATGGAATTTCAAACTTATTTTAAACCTGTTAGGGTCCTGCTTGGATTAATAGACTTAATGCTCTTTATTCGTTGCAATACCTTAGGATATCTACATCTCACGCCATGAATGGTAATTTAGATAAGAGTTCGTTAAACTGTTTAAAGCATGCACGCCTCAGATTGTGGTTTTCTGTTATCTTATCTACTGGGAGAATTATTTTAAAAAATGGTGAGTTGCAGATATTTGAAATAGTTTCAGGTATTATATACCAAGACCAAACACTGAAGTAAACCAGCTTTATTTCAAATTGGATAACTCTATCAGTTCCAAACTGTTTTCCCGCGAGGTAAATGCCAGGGTCATATATGTTATTGATCCAGTATTACTATACAGGAAATCTAAACTAAACTAACTTTATTTATATTGGATAGCTCTATCAGTTTAAATTGTTCTCCCTAGAGTCCAGTATAAGGATCATCGGCTTATTGATCCAGTGTTGCTACAGGAGGAAACCTAAACTAAACTAACTTTATTTATATTGGATAGCTCTATCAGTTTAAACTGTTCTCCCTAGAGTCCAGTATAAGGATCATCTCTTATTGATTCAGTGTTACTACAGGAGGAAACCTAAACTAAACTGTTCTCTCTAGAGATTCAATAGAAGTTATCTCTTGCTGTTCAGTTTTGCTACAACAGGAAACTGGAGAAACCTGTTTAATTTAATTGTTAGAGTCAAACTGCAAGCACTCTTCCCACATGTGACTGGGTCGCGGTCGAGGTCGCGACTGTGCATGGTAGCAACACCCAAAACATGCGACGAGTTATTAATAGCCGTACTCAGTTCCCAAGAAGAGTTCTTTATGACCTTTAAAGGGCCTGAAGAGCCTCTCACAGAGAAGTTATCAGTTGACATAACGTGAAAGACCATGCCTTCATTTTTTACATTCCAATGACAGGGCACAGTTTCTAAAGCCGCCAGCCACTTTGTCAGGAGCTTAACTGAGCCATGTCAGAAGGACAGGCCGAACTAACTTTTCTAACGAAGGACCCAAGCGTGTCTAATCTCATATAGTTCAAACACAAACCACGGCAGCCTATTGTAGAATACTACCTACACTGGTCTACACTGGACCACCACGTTTGAGATATCTTTTTCAGGTAGTTCAGATACAAACCACGACAGCTTATTATAGAATACTACCTACATTGGATCACCACGTTTGAGGTATTTTTTCTGATCAGGTAGTTCAAACACAAATTCTCCGAACCTCAGCTTTATGTATTAGCCGGAATTCTTTTTAGATTAAAATGTTATTTTGAAAACAAAGGTTTATAATAATTCGACATAAGTTTCTGTCTAAATCGCTCCCTAAGTTAGACCTGGCGGGACAAATGGAATGCACCAAGACCAAGTGTTTCATATCATCTGAAAGCCAAGCCCTCTGATGGGGCGTTAATAGTTTCAAAAGTTTTTTAAAGTGTTTTTTAAACATCGCCGCCCCTGAATTGGAGCAATTTTAACTCCAGCTGGTTCTGAACGATGCTCGGCCAAAAAGAGAGGGAATTTAATTGGGTCATTCATATTCATTTAAAAATGTCTCCGACCTGGCTTCCCGTTCAGTAAGGGTGCGCAACTATTCCACCCACACAGGGAAATTAGCAGCTTGTAGTTTTGGCAGTTAGTGTCCGTTTTTAACTTTGTGGCTAATTACACAGTCTGATTAAAACATAACCTCAAATATTTCAATAACTTTGCAGAATTTGCGGTTCCTGACAGAGCTCAAATAACTGTGTTTGCAAGTACTACGCTGTAAAAACAGATTGGTTAATTAAAAAGTAATAAATTGGTTTTCTCAGGTTCATAACAAAAGGACTTTGGTTAATTTAACCAATTTTATTTTACAGTGTAGGTTCTAACATGAAAAATATTCCTTTCACTCAACGCTGCATGTGAGTCAACTTTAAACTAAAATTTTTCAATTCTATTTCAGTTTTCGAATGATATACAATGACAAGAATGAACATTATTTTCTCACTCTGTCTCTGATAACTGTATGTTTGCCACGATCTACTGCACGATATAATGCTTACTGTGAAACCTACTTATTACAATAGTTTTTTTCTACTCATATAAGCTGAGCCGCCCGGCCTTCTCAAGCGAAATCGTGTGGTGTTAGATCGAGTAAGTCAAATTATAAATTCTCACACGTCTGAAAACAAAGTTCAAAACGCAAATACAAGTTAACTAGACTTCCAAAAATGGCGAATACTTCCTAAAACGGCGATAATACTGCAGTTGCTTAGCAACGAAACGTAAGCGTGCACTCTCTAGGTAAAATTGAATAAACAAGCTTTTTTCACCGCTCAATCCGATTACACTTTAGCCTTCGCTTTTTTCAGTTGGCCTTAAGCATTTTACCTCTTCCGATTTTAACGCGTTAATCTTGCTAATCCGAGCTTAGCTCAAGTTTAAATAGGAAATCCTGATAGGGCATGCGCAATGGACGCCAGTTTGTTGTTCTACCAAAAATTTACTCCAAAAGCACTAGCGGCTCATCAACGATTTGTGATTGCTATCTTATCAATATAGCTACCTCTGAGACCGGGCTTTTCTTCAATGTGCAAAAGCTCTGGATTGAGCCTTAAGGATTCGACTAAAATCTAATCTTATCCTGAAAAAAATATATGCAAGTAAAACTCGTCGACGTTCCGAGCGAAGCCCTTCGTCGTGAAGTTAGTAAACCGTCGTATTCTATCTTTCAGGCAGAAGTTGAATCGCTCTCAATCCTCCTGACACAGACCGTTCGAGAGCCTGTCTGATTATAATTTCACATGCGAGTACGCGGAAACGAGCTAGGCTAACACGTTCTGTACTTTGTAAAGTTTTGGCTGCACGTCGATATTGATAACATTAGTTTTTTAATCAAGTGAAAAAGCGTTAACAAGATGTTCTATTGAGTCATTTGCTTTCTAAAACATTGTTTCCGCCTGTGTGGTAAGGAAAGCTCGCTAATCTTGTTATTTTTGCCCTGCCTTTCCTACTCTGCACAGATTTAAACTTTTTACAATTAGATAAAAACAAAAAGATGTGACAAGCTACCTCACTCGCTCGATTATTTAGAGAGCCTTAAGCCTCGCTCAAGCGAAGATAACAGTTGATGACTCTCACTGCACCAACTTTATTTAAACTGGATCAAAGTTTGCCTTAGAGTTTTGTAATAGATGTCGTAACTACTAACTCTTGACGAAGGGCTTTCGTTCGAAACGTCGAGTTTCTGCTTATTTTTTAAGGTAGTAATATAACCACTCAGCACAGCATTTCTACATTGGTACTACCAACACTGGTACAGACAGTTTTCGTCTATATAATTGGTTTTCCCGCCAAATGTTTGAGGCGAGATAGTGTTGCAACGCCATTAACTACTTCAGTGTAGTTTTATGACTTTTGATTGGCTAATAAGAAGCTCCTTCAATAATTCAACTCAAACGTCGTGGTTTGTGTCTGAACTATCTGGAAAACATATCTCAAACGCGGGGGTCCAGTGTGGGTAGTATTCTACAATAAGCTGTCGTCAGTGGTTGCAGCATACGTCCAAGCCATTATAATCGTTGGAACCATGTTTTATCTTTGATAGTAATTTAATAAGTATCTTCGCAAACAAACTGATATTGAGATATGCTGATAATCTATAGATTAGTTTTAACAGGCTTTCAGCATGAGTTTCAAAAACATCTCAAACTTGGCTCATACCACAAATATCTGGCGAAGTTTACAAGATAAAAGTTAAGATTTATAATTGTTGGGTTTTTTTCGACACTCTGCTCCCCAAGTGGGATGTAATTCCTCAAAGTAGCGGCTTTTATCGAGTATAACTATTGTTGCTGCTTTAAGATAAGTTGCTAATATTTGCGAAGATAATTTCACTGATAACGCACTGTCCCCCACTATGCTTCAAATTCCTCTACAAGACAATGAAGTCGGCTTACGTTATATTAATCTATTTTAAAACCTATTGATCGAGCCGAAACTTTCAAGAATTAAGTGCAGAAAATCTTTTTTTTTTAGAATTGTCCATGCTTTGGGGCGTTATATTCAGTTAAAAAACTCATTAATAATTCATGAGCAAAAGACAAAGGAAACTGCCGTGTTGGTGGTTTTATATGTGATAAAAAATCATGTTCATTTACATAAACTTTAGCTTTGATTTTCTCGGCTTAGACATGCAACGTTGATTTTTAAAATTACTTCACCAATGAACTCGTAAGATGGGTCGTTTTTAAGTCATTAAAAACACTCGCAGTCTGTGCTATATCAGATATAACATACTCGGCTGTCGCCTCGTGTTTTATAAAGCACTACTGCTCAGAAAATGGGGCTCAACTCTAAATCGACACTTACAGGAACCATATTAAACTACATTTCTCCATTGGATTTATTGGCCAAACAAGACTAACTATCAGTCTACCACATACAATGAAAAGAATTAGCATTACTGATTTTCTCACTGATAACTGCAGTTTCATCAATATAGCTGTTTAGTGAAACACGCCTAAAAAGATATCTTCTAATATGCAACGAGTGTTTAGATAGGATAATTGTTTCATTTGATAAAGGTTTTATGAAGGAAAATATTTCCGACATTCCGTGGGATTTTTTAGTATTTCCTGATTGCCTGCTTTAGTTTTGCAGTTTATTGTGAAAGGCGTTTTTAATAGGACCCTTGACCCAGCACCCAATAAGACCTGAATTGTTTTTCCTATTTCTCATTCATGAGATCTTATTTTGTCAGCTTTTTAACAAGGAAGTGACACATGTTGTATATGAACTAGATAAACTTGTTATATCTTCTCCTTAATTAAAAGCTAATCTTGCCAACTATGAGTAAATAATAGACTTTGAAAAAAATGAGATTCTAAACTCGTGATCTTGAAAAACACTGCTTTGCCTTAGCAACAACATCGAGAAACATCAGTTTTCATTTTTTAACACATACTTTACGAACGACTCTTCAAAGTAATTGGAGATTGTGAAGTGATGTGCAATGACAATGTTCGTATCGATTATTTTGTTTTTCACGTCCAAATTCTTCGTTGTTTTACATGATTCTAAGGAACAAGACAAAACATACTTTCTAGGACTGTGATATGAACTCGAACGGTGTGTCGATCAGCGTAGGTAACGGCAATCACACCAGAAAGTTGTGGATTGAAATGCATTCAACTATTTCCAAAAAATACAAGTGAAACGTCGACGTCCTTCTATACGAAGGGTTTCAGCCTTTCAGGTATAGTTGAATTCCTCTCAAATCGCAGTTTTCTAACCTGGCAAAGTGGTCACAAAATGATATTTTTTCTTTGACAGTTCACTAACGTAAAACGTGTAAATCCTTCCAGCAAGTAGAATAAAAATTAAAATAGAACCGTTTTTATTGTAACGACGTGAAGCAGATCAAACTTCGACGAGCTAGTTTCGAGAGAAACGGTCCTTCGTCAAGAGACTAATTGAAGATCGGAAAAAAAACTTGCCCGTTGTCCGTAGTTCTACCCGTGAACACTCGAAAAGACATGTGATAAAATTTGAAAATTAAAAAACTTCATTTGGCAACAGTGCAAGTCTAAAACCAACAAAAAAAGATTAATGGAATTATTGGGGTTTCCATTTCAGCAAATATATATGCAGGACTGTTTGTGTATTTAGCCTGATGCCAGCTAATCTGTTTGTTGACGCGTTTTGTCCAATCATCGGCAATGCTCGATAAATATGAGTTGCGCAGATATCGTATTACGCGCATTTCGATCACTCATAGAGCAATCCATCACATTGATCAAAATCAAACCCTTAAATATAACCATATTTTATCTAATTAGTAAGACTTGAAATAAATGCGCTTTGTCGGTGCGTCGGTGTTGCAGTCAGAACATCAAGCTTTTGGGAACTAACAAGAAAGTGTGTCTATCGTTTTAGAGTACTGTAAACACGACTTGTGACGGAGAGAGGATCTTTACAAGGACATTGTTTGTGACGGGACATCAGAATGGGGAGTTTATTGAGGATTTTGGCCATATCGCGGACACGTTTTGCGTGGAGTGTTTTAAGAACGATCTTGTTCGTAGCTGTAATCAAGTCGCTCGACGCACGTCGTTTGCAAACGTCAACAGGGCCGAAGTATGCGAAGTTGCATGGCCCGTTCAATGGTGTTAAAAATCGCGACCATTTCGCAAGTGAGGAAACGACACGACAGATGCTGAATGTATTAGGAATGGACGAACTTCCCAAGCCTAGACAGGGGATCATTCCACATGAATACATGATACAAATATATGAAAAAATGTCACGAAGAAAACCACGGGCAAATGGCGTCAACACCATCCGAGGATTTGTGGATGTTGGTAAGTCAAACACACTATGTAATATCATAAACGTTTAGGTTCGTAGCGATAATATTCACAAGCCGGTTGAAAGATTGAACTGCCTGAAAAATGTACAAAGAACTTCGCTGAACGAAGGCACTTCAAGCGTCTGGACGTTTTCAGTGTAGTTCCATCCTTCATTCAATATCGTGAATAAACACAGTCTACCCTATTTCAAGCAATGTAAACACATATCTTCACTTTTGGCATAGTTTTATCGTGTTTAAATCAAAATGAGTATAGGCCGTTAACAACAAGTGTTGTTTTTGTCTTCTAGGCAACGATGACAGCAAGGGTAGAATGAAATTTCATCAGATATATGCATTTAATATTTCCGCTCTGCCGAGCTCGGAAAAAGTCATCTCTGCTGATTTGCGTATTCTGCGCTTGCCTACGCGCTTGCAGTGGAAATACGCCTGGGCGCACGGCACACAGTATCGCGCAAAATTATACTTCAAAAAAATTGTGGCGCATGTGTGGAACGGGCAGATTTATACTCACGCACAACTGGTACTCTTGGATTCAGTGCTGTTTGATATCAAGGATAAACACAGCGAGAATTGGAAAGTTTTTAAAGTGTTGAATGCATTACGACTGTGGAAAAATGATTCGAATTTTGTGCATCATTTGGAATTACAAGTGGAGTCGGTACGTACGGGATATTTAATGCCAGCGTATGCGTTTGGTTTGACTGATAAAGGACGACCGCATTACAAGCGAGCACTGTTGGTCACCTTCACTGATGACGGGAAAACGCCGGAGACGAATGGCAAAAGAAATAAGAAATCGAGAAAGAAGAAAGTTGAGTTGAAGTCGGAGGAAGAAAGCACGAATCGTGTAAAGCGTAGCATTAAACGTAGAAAGCGAATAAAAAGAAAACCTTTATGTAATCGCAAGAAACTGTATGTGGACTTCACCCTGCTCGGATGGTCCGAGTGGATTATCGCACCACGAGGATATAATGCATATTATTGTCAGGGAGTTTGTAAGTATCCTATCCCTGAACATTTAAAGCCAACAAACCATGCAATAGTTCAGACTACTGTACATTCTAGCGATAGACGGCGAGTACCACCTGCTTGCTGTGTGCCACACAAACTCTCAGGACTTGGCATGCTATTTTTGGACAGAGGGGATAGTGTGGTTTATAAAAAATATGAGAATATGATTGTTGAGAGCTGTGGCTGTAAATGAAGGCCTCAACGTTCAATATCGTAGCCAGAAAATCCCTTGGGGCTTGCTTAAAGTCAGTTTAATACACCAAGTGCCCTCAAGGTGAGAATTTAGGATTGACAGAACAAAACATCAAGAATCCTCGTAGCAGACTAGCAGTTCTGAAATGTCGCCGTTTTGCAGACCTTGTGTCTTTCGCTTGTATCCTGTCGGCCATAAAACAAACATATAAAGCTATTGAGGCAATGAAAACTGCAGAACCGTGGAGACTTTGTCTCGGATATAGTGTTAATGTAATCTGTTGATGAGGTCTGGATATGTGTTTGTGTATTATGTTGATAAACGCGCTTCCAACACTCAATTCCTCTATGCGATAACAAACAGTTTTGTGTCAAAATTGTCTGAGCGAGATCAGATCTAGAGCTTGTCACGATAACTCAATTATTATGAGGCAGGAAAACAATATTGCGAAAGTGATTAATTTTCAAACTCAGCATAAATTGCGTGCAAAGTACATCCCATTGCTTCATAATCCTATTACCACTAATACATTCGCCTTGATATTTCCGAACTTGTACAAACTTAAGGAAACAGTCAATATTGCCGGTGAATATATGAATATATACCGTGAGATATTTAGGACTACTTGATTGATATTCTAGTAGTAAACAAAGTATAAAAAATGTTTTGGAACTTATATAAAACATTTGGTAATTGTTAAAATGTTAACCCTTTATTTTGCGCGATTTATCGACATAATACCAAACACACTTTTTTTACCGAGTTGGTGCAATGGTGCAACTGAACTTTGCCAATGTATCTGTAAATACTTAATATATCAAAAATATGCACTATTTATTAAAAGAAGCATTAAGCTAATGTCAAAAAAACTCATTAAAAAATGTATACGCATTTTAATCTTACGTGTTTCGGTTAATGGCTTTTTAAAACCTACACGACGTATAGACGCTTTAAAATTAGCCTTGTGCGCGACACAATGAGGGAAGAGATTATTTCGCTGGCCTCAGAGTGACAAAACGTAACAAAGCAACGGTTTTACTAACCCTATTCCAAACACCAACTGTAACCCTAACCCTAAACTTACCCTACTCCAAGTTTGTTTCTAAACCAATCTTGAAGAAAAAAGTTTTGACGAAATGTCATTCTGAGGTCAGTGAAATAGTTGATGCCCACAATGAGAGGTGCATGCTAGGGTGAGCTAAACTGTTTGTATGTTGGATTGCTGTCACTGACCTTAAGTGGAATACATACCTTTCCAACCGCAGGGTTGAAATGTATATGGCTTGTTTTAAGCGTCTAGGTAGGAGGCATGTTTTTCCCTGTGTCAACAAGAGAATTATGATGACTTTTCTAAGGAAACACGATCGGATTTTTGGCGAGAAGTGAGTGGATGTTTTGAAAAGATTCCACGGCGGAAATTAGTGCGTTTCAAGAGCTTGCAGATGTCAAGTTCAGAGACGCCTGCATACGCTGTCTTACTACATACGCTGTCTTACTACTACATACAATGAAAAGAATTAAAATGGAAATGACCCGCATAATATGCAAATGAGAATATTTTTATCTCTACACATTTTCCCTAATTACTGTAGTATTTATGAATGAGACGTATATTATGCAAACTAGACGCGTATTTTGTAAACGAGAAGCATATTGTGCAAATGAGACCTCTATTTATGCAAACAAAATAAATTTCATTGTAATATCATGCGCGATTTTTTTTACTGTACGTTTTACTGTGCGCAATTTTTTTCTAAAGTATATAAAGCCATATCGGGACGTTTTTCCTTTAAAAAATACTTCAAATTTTCTCAATTTGGCGATCGGTGTTTTGTGAAACGCACAGCTGGAAATGTAGAACATTTAAACGCGCCATTTTGCCCCGTGCTGCTGCGGGCATTTGCGTCGTTTATGTAGCTATTAATTCACCATTTATGTTCGCACTGTGAACCGTTTAAAGCGGAAAGTGGCTTATTTTCATCAACTCCGCTTGATCGCAGCATTAAACATTTCACACGCACTTCGCGTGAAGGGATTGCGAGCATTATTACGCGCAAACTGTCATGAGCATTATACCTACTTATTTCGAGCGCGCGCAATACGAGACGCACAAAATTAAAATGCTGGGAAAATAGCGCGCGCAAACTAAGCCCAGATGTGCGCGCACTGCAGTAGAAAGTATCAGACGTTATCGCTTATGCTATAAACGCCGATAAAAGCCTCCTATGTTTGCTGATAGTTATTGAAGATATTCAATACGGGGCTGTAAACAGGCAAATTCAACTGATATGGCCAATTCAAAGTTAAAACGATCTCGGAACGCTTTTGTAAACACTATACGATACTTGTTTAGACTTGCGGTGAGTTTTTAAAATACGAGCGAGTCACAATATTAAATTTTCAGCTCTCCCACGTTTTTCCGTTTAATAACTCGCCTTGCTACGTGGTCAATTTAAATGCTATTCTAGCAAATGTGCGCCCGTTATCGCTTGGGTGCATATGCGCATCAGATTGTGGTATGGCTTGACTTATGATAACCTCTGTCGAGATGAAATTAATGTGTTGGTTTTTGTCTTTTAAGCAGAATTTGAAGTATTTTTTTTTAAAAGAAAATCTTGCATATGACTTTAATTAAACCAGTTTAGAAAAAATTGCGCACCGTAAAACGTACAGGACGAAAAGATCGCGCACAATCACAATAAAATTATCTTGTTTGCATAATATGCTTCTCATTTAATTTACAAAATACGCGTCTAGTTTGCATGATATACATTTATCTCATTTGCATATATGCGGATCATTTCCATTTTATGCGTCTTCGAGGCTCTAAAATCGATTTGAATGAAAGTAAACAAGAATGAACGGAAACATTATAATTATCAATCATGTACACACATTATCTTGATAATGTGAACAATATCATGATATCAGGACTCGAAGAGACATTCAACTATTCCAACGATTTCCGTGCATTGAAAAAGAGAATAGTTCGAACTTTTCGTAAAAGGTGCGGCCCAAATAATATATCTTGATTCTTTGCAGACATTTTCCGGATTATTTCTGCCGGAAAGTATGGTATTTTCTTGCTAGATTTTTGATAAGATATTTCCTCAGTTGGGGGCAGAATAAGAACGAATGAACTGATCATTGATAACGTGAATTGTTTGCATTTTTGGCAAACTTAATCAAAACATGACTCGTACTTTTATTAAAACTTGACCATTGAAAATTTGTGCTTTCGGTTGTTCAGAATTTTATCTAGGAGAGAATAAAGGTTTTGTCTATGAGCAATGATCCTTTACGGTGATAGCTTATCATCACGATAAAGTTAGGAAAATATTAACGCGGAAAGTTTAAATATTCCAAAGCCTTCCGTTTTAATTGAAGTGACTACAGCTAAATTAAACGTGTAGACATTTTGCCATCTTCATCCGCTCTCGTGATTGTGAACAATGTTGATAAGATCTCGTGAACGTCATGGTTCTTGCTGACGACTGCCCAACTCGTTACCATGGAAGACCCCGCGAACGAGGTTAATCGAGTCACTCGTTGGTGAGCAGATTTCCGAACAGGCTATTATTGCCCAATAACCCATTTCCCAAAGTCCTGGATCTAGTCGCGCGAATACCATGTTGGAGGGACAAGAAATATGGCAGCACACATTTAAATTAAATGTTTAATGTAAAAAGGAGATATTTCATTTTGGTCGCCTAAAAAGTTGATATTTGATAGCAGATACTTCTACTCTTTCACATGTTTGACGCCTGTCACCATATATTTTGGCCCTTCAAACGATCTCAGAATGCACTGTGATTTCTTTTGGGAAAAGGCTAATTGTGATTTATTTTGGGAAAAGGTTAATTGATAGGACACCTAAGCGATTAATAATAATAATTACAGTATTTGGTACACATTTTCAACTGCCTCAGTGCGTTTACAATGTTAAAATATAATTAGCTAAAATTAAATTAATTAAAATCTTCTCAGGTTGGTCTTCACATGGTACTCATGTCCAAGGGTGGGTAGTAGCGAAGTAGTCGTAGTTCGCTACTGTAGCGAACTACAATTTTCAAGTAGCCAGTAGTTTTTGACTACTTTTTTAAAACAGTAGTTGTAGTTATAGCGAACTACATTTTGCCTAAAAGTAGCCAAGTAGTTGACTACTTTTCAAACAGCGAATCGCTATTCGCTACTTTTTAAAATTGTTAGCAACCGTTCGTAGAATATAATGATATTAAGACACGGTTTGCTTAAAAGATTATTTTATACAGTAAAGATTATTTTAGCGCATTGAAAAGTGGCACTCCTGAACACTGTATAGTGCTTACAAAAATGTTTCTTTGACCCTTTTTGTTTACTGTTGCTACTCGTAAGTCGATTTGTTATAGGTTAAATTACAGCCTGAGCCCAAATACCGTAAAACTAAAAAATATAGAGTAGCGAAATAGCGAAATAGTTCGCTACATTTTTTAAGCAGTAGCTGTAGTCAGTAGCGAACTACTTTTGTTCAAAAGTAGCAGTAGTTGTAGCTGACTACATATTTTTGAAGTAGCTGTAGTTAGGGACCGTTCATTATTTATACCTGGGGTTGGTACCGAAGAGAAGCGAAAAACACTGTAAATTTTTTATTTACCCAACCTCGACATTGGTCAAAATAATGTTCACCCAACCCATGTGTTACTGTACTTCATAATATTTAAACACATAAGATTATGGTGACAGAAATCAAGTTGCCTAAATTCTAAAAGCTCACTCACTCTCAAACTCACTGGTACAGAATGTATTGTACACATTTTTTTTCATATTTTCCAATGCATGGTAATTTTGGTTAAATTTTATAGCTGACAGAGAGCCACAAATTTTTTTACCCAACCCATAAGCTAGCCAAAAACTTGATTACCCAACCCATATCTCTTCGGTACCAACCCCGGGTATAAATAATGAACGGTCCCTTATAGCGAACTACAAAAATTTTGTAGTCAACCCACCCTTGCTCATGTCATGTTGACCATACCTTCGATCATTGTTATATATTTTATTGCACTTTTGTTTGATTATAAAGTTAATAAATAAAATTTTAAAAAATCATTCCACGATATAAAAGTGATCACTAAGTTATAAAAGATAATTTGGGATTTGAACGAGTTAATAAAATCCGTTTGTCTTAGTTACACTGTCCCATAATTTTGGTGCTGTGATGGAGAATGTTCCGTCTCATTAACGTCCTTATCCGAAGAAGACGCGAAAGTCTAACCACTTGACTGATGTCAATGTAAAGGTAGCTCTTTCTCCTCAATTAGTTTAAGACCTTGAGTAGAGGTCCAACCGAGGATTGAACCCGGGTCACACCTGGTCTCCCAGCTTGAAAGGCAAGCGCGCTGACCACGACTTGGTGAGCGAGAATCACATTCTTTTTTTGAGCTTTTTTGCCTTAAATCTCATGTAAAATTTGCTCATTAATTTATAGCCTGCCAACGCTTTTGTTGCAAAATTGTTACAGCTTTGTTACACAGCTATTCAGGTGTCACTCAGAGACTTTCAGTTTAATTGCAGTGCGCTGCCGCAGCCAAGAAATTCATTCAACAATTATTTTCTAGAATTCTTTAGTAAAAACACACATTTCAAACGATAATGAAGACACCTTTTTATTACTTTAATCTTTATATTTTTAATTCAAGTTGAATATTGAAACAACAATTGCAACAATATACAACAGAACTAAGTATTAAAAATTGTTTATAAAAAAGAAAATGGTTCATCCGAGCAATTGAAAAGTTTTGGTAACTAAAATATATATTAGTCTAAAATTATAATTATTCATATTTTTATGAATTGGCATACTTATATAACGTAAGCCCCAAGGCAATATAGATAAAATTAATAAAGGAAAACATCTAGTTAATTCTAACTTGTACACAAGGCTGAAAATGATTATATTATTAAATATTATTAAAACTACAAACTACAAATTTAAAAAAATGAATGTGTAAAAATCCAGTAATTACACAGTTTAAATTTTTCTGGGACAATATTTGAATAGGATTTCTATTCTATAATTGGAGCGTAGAAACGCATGAAATATCATGCATTCATGTTGGTATATGCCAAGGAACATTAATCTTTCATCTTCAACAATTTCATTTAATCATCTTTATTTGCTCTTCCCTTAAAATCATCCATACACGAACTAGCTCCGAAAAATCCGGACAATAATATGTACGAAGATTGAGGCAGAATGCTAGATAAAAAAAAAAACGAAATAAAAGTTAACAATTCTGTTTACATGTCCAAGGTTTTGCATAGAATTTAGAGGAGCCTTTTTGAAAGATGTGGCGTCTGTGTGGTGCCCAAAGTACCACCCAGGGGTCTGATGTTGTCTCCTTGTGAGAATTTGAAATCTAGACTCCTTGAAATGAAATTTACAGCCATTTTGGAGATTAATTATGGAGATTTTGTCATGTCATCCAAATACTTAACAAAGCATATCGTATCGTAAGGATATTTTGGCTTATCAAGAAATAACGGATATTGTCTACACTATAAGTTGGGTGCCCGCTTCTATTGGGAACCCTGCATGTGATGGAATGACTGGAATGGACGCCTATTACTGTGTTCCAATTGAAGTGTTGCTCAAATATTGATTCAATACATTACCTCAGGCTGACCAATTCATTTCATCAAGTTCCTCGAGATATTTATACACTTCCTGTGAAAGAGCCAATTCCAAGTATTTGATCATTTCTGGTTACTTCCTTTCTATATGTGATTGGTTAGTTGCACAAACAACAAAGGTGATTGGTGCATTCAAACTATTCAACAGGAAGTTTACAATTATACTAGGAAGTGCATGAATATTTCGAGGAACTTGATCAAATGAATTGGTCAGCCTGAGGTAATGTATTGAATCAATATTTGAGGAACACTTCAATTGGAACGACAGTAACTGGTTAATACAAACCTTTTGAAAATTAGAAGAATATACATTATTCTCGGCATCATCAAGATGCGTTGGTTTGTCAATATCGCATTCATTATCTTGTGAACTGCCACCTCTGGTTCAAGTATTGGCAGAAGAAAAGGAAATCTAAATTTGTCAAAAATAATTGAGTTACTTGGCAGCTTCAGTACAACAAAATAAAGTATAGGTATCTCTGATTACTATTACTTTTGGGATCACAGTAATTGGCCTGAAGCTGTTGTGATTTCCTGTCACATTTGTAATGTTATATATGTAATGATTGTTATTTGTCATGATGTATTCTTGTTGTGACAAAGCTTGTAAAATTAAAAAAAAAATTATAGCACACACATGCTTCTGGACAGTATGTCACCTTGGCTATAGAGCCTCGTTTTCATGGTTGAGACATTAGACTTCAACTAATACCACATACATGAAAACAAGGCTCTATAACAAAGTGACACACCTGTACTTTCCTGAAGGGTGGGGGGGGGGGGGTTGCAAGCTGCCTCGGCCTGTCAAACTTTACCTCGTTTTGGCTCCATCAAACATACCAGTGTTGATAAAATATGGACAAACAACTGTCGTGTGGACCTCGTGCTTTCCAATGGCTGCCAGCTCCATCTGTAATGACTCGTTGAAGCCAAAAGCACCAAACTTTGAGCTACAGTAATCGCACAGTCCAGCCACACCAAAGAGACCAGCAGACGAAGCAATGCTTACTATGTGACCATGATTATTCTCGAGCATCGCAGGTAAGAAAGCTTTGGTTGTCTAAAAATAACATTAATTGGACCTTTAATGGCAAAGTGTTTCCCTTGACGAGCACATTGTCATTCAAGACATTTCAGGCAAAGGAAGTTTGTCTACGAGTGTTTGGATATCCATTCCCGGTGAGACACAAGCTCAAGTTGTTTATATAGCTTCTCAAATAAATCGAGATGTAACAGAATGTTTTCGTTCGCTGATTTGAATAGAATTCTTAACCAAGCATAACGTAATTAGGAATTCTAGAATTTCAAGTAATTTTGCACGCGTAATTAAGATATTTAATGAAAACATTAGTGACTTTCATCAAGTTTCACCGGGTTATCCAAATGGCATCTTGTGATCAAATAGGTGATCACTGGCTGAATTGCTCATGAATTATTAATGAAAGGGTCTCCCACAGGGGTGGGGTCTGTGTTCGCATGTTCACTGGACCCTCCACATTTGAGAAAGATATAACACACTAAACATAAATCTCCAAAAGTCTATTTATATATTTATGGAATTTTGTTCATGCAAATTAAAGAAAAACATTTCAACCCAAATATTGACAATACACGTGTATCTAACCAATCTGCTTCTGACGCATGTTATCTTACAAAACAAATACACAATAGTTCAGTTTTCTGTGGGAATCAACCAATAGGAATCCTCATACAAGAAAGCTACTCAGTAACATCGGCCAAAGTATGAAATACAGAAATATGCGTAATATTATACTCATTACAAGATGGAAATTTTTTTTTTGTGGCGTGAAATTTAACGTTTTACGCTTACCCAGCAGTGAGCCAATGTGTTCACTTCAAACGTTTTTTGAATCAATGCATCTGAACAATCCAATAACTTCTTTCCACTCACAATACCAGCGTTATTAATGAGGATAGTTACATCTCCGACATTGGCTTTGATTTCGTTCGCAATTTTATAAATATCGTCTTTGCTACTGCAATCACAAGTGAATGAGAAAGCTTTCTGATCTTTTGATTGTATTTCATTCACAGTCGCTTCATTTGCTTGTTTGTTGATATCAACACAAACGACGGTAGAGCCAAGAGAAGCGAAACGGAAGGCCATCAAGCGACCTATTCCACTGCCTGCACCGGTGATCAGTACAATTTCATCGCGCACATCTTTCTTTGTAGCGGGAACAAACCACATTGCAAAGGCAGTCAGAATTTGCCAGAAGAGCGTGCACATAAATTGCAACGTTTCCACAAATAACGATGCCATTTTATGCGTGATTTTTGGTGTCTTTTTGAAGATGTTTATAAACAACCCTGTCAAAACGAGCGTTTACATGTAACAGACACGATCTTTGGACCCATTCACCTTTAATGACCTTCATTAGTCACGCTTCAGTTCCACACATGCGCATTTCATGTTTGCGCATTTTTAACATTTTTTACGCGCAGCTTATTTTTTGCGTCAAGTTTGGTCTAAAAATTAAGTTTGGTTGACCTTCGAATTTCCTCACATGCTACATGTATGCCCATGAACTAAAAGCAAATCACATGCTTTATTTTTGTCGCCCAACGTGTGGCAGCTGTATTCAAAGGCTAGGTCATGTTTAGGGTCTTTTCAATCTCGTTCCTAGAGTATGCCTGTTTGCGGGTGGGATCATGCCACTACCTAACCCGCGAACAGGCATACTCTGGGAACGAGATTGGGGTCTTTTCTAAGTTTTAAATTAAATTGTTGAATAGCCCATTCAGAGTGCAAAAAACTTTTAAGATTTAACCCACTAATGATCTTTAGTTACCCTTGGTGCCAGAGGTTCTTCCACGTGGATACATTGCAAGAGTGGAAGCAGGGGCGTAGCTAGAGAAGGGGGGCGGGGGGGAGTAACACTCCCATTCATCAGACTCTGCAAATGTTTGCTTGACTTGGCAAATTGTTTCCATAGTCAGCAAAAATATTGTGAGTGGCTCGGAATAAAAAGTAATAGTTATAGCAAAATTTTTCTAAATTTACAGAAAAAGTTGGCAGCACTCTCTACTTGACGAGTAAAATTGTCTGGCATTGGCAAGAGTAAAATACTAAAGTAAAGTGCATTAAAGAGCGGCTGCAAAGGAGACTACTTAAAAGGTTAATGGATTGAAAAGTTTGTGAAAAATGGTGTCCAGAAATTTTTTTCCCCTTCACCACCCACCCCAACCCGCCATATCAATTAGAGACTGAAATGTTGTCGGCAAATGCAATACTACCTCCCCACCCTCAAAAAACAAAGAAAAAACAAAGTTGGGTGAATAAAAAGATAGGCCAATTTTTAAATAGTTAACCCATTGAGTGGCAGCACTCTCCCCTTGGCAAGTAAAATTGTCTAGCATTAGAATAAAATAACAAAGTATGGCACTTTCTCACTTCCCGCATTTGCATGCCGCCCAATACTGCCTGGCTACTAAACCAGGTAATATAAACAAAATAGAAAAATAC